CCCCCCCCTCCCCCCCCCCCCTTTCTCCCTCCCTTCCTTCCCAACATGAACATCTCTGGAGCGCTATGTGCTGGGCACAGATTCGGCACTGACGATGTAGAGATAAAAACCACTGGCCTTTCCCACACGTGGCATTCCTTGGGCAGCAGGCAGATGCTCCAGGAGGCAGCTGCGGTCCCGATGAAGCATAGAGGGCAGAGCCTAAGACCTGATAGTCATGCTGGTGAGGCTGGAGCCAGACAGAGCTTCAGACACTGAGAATCCAACCACTTCGTTTTACGGTGAAGAATCTGAGGCCCAGAAGGTTGCTCAAGGTCACTGAGCAAGTAGGTGTCTGGGCCAGGAGGGGGACTCAGATTGCAGGTCTCCCATTCAGTCGCCTTTCACTCCCCTTGGCTGTGGGTGTGGTCACTTGGTCCCTCAGCTGGAGCCAAGATGGAGGGACTGACCCTGTCTGCTCTGTGACTCGACATTGAACGTGGTACTTTTCCCTTTCTGCCTACTGGACTTGACCCCGCCCAGAGTAGCAGAAGACGAAAAATCATCCAATGGTTCTTTCAAGGACAGCATCAAAAATGCCAAAAGCCTCTTTCTCCCTGAGTTTTGCAGGCCCTTGGAAACCTTTGGCTGCTCCAGGCAGTGAAATAATTAGGTCATTTAGCACACACCCATGATAAATGGAATGTTTATGTCATCCACAGCTTGTTTATTCCTCAGAATGAGTGGTCTTTGTCCTCTAGGCCTTGGGAGAGCACAAATCCCCTTGCTGGCCAATCAGCAAAATGGACTGCAGGGGTATTCAAGATCCCAGGGGACCCTGAGGAGCTCACCATGGCCAGGGGAGGAGGAGTGTTGTGTGGCACAATGGAAGCTTCCAGGTGGCGTGATGTGATGCAATGTCCGCTCCAGACTCCAAACTTTGGTTCACGCCCAGGAAGCTTGGACTCATTGGAGAATGCAGGCAGAGAGACGTTCTGAATGTGAACAGGACTGAGTCAAGGTGGGTATAAAAAAAGTGGCCCATATCTGAGAGTTAGGAGACTTCGGTTTCAGTCTTTCTATGCCAGTAATGATTGGGGAGACCTCAGATTGTTCTCCTCATCTGTTGGACTGAAGGACCTGAGGTGCTTTCCAATAGCACTATCGATGATTCCAGAATTCTCTCTTCACTTCAGGCCCCTGGAAATCGGGCCTCATTTCAAGCTCAGGGGCTCATTTAAGAGCATGGGCATGCTGCAGGCTGGGGCATGGGCATGCTGTAGAAAAGAACCAGCAACGGGCACTAGAGAGAGGAGCTCCACTTCTAGAAGTTTGGACGCTTCAAGTTCTTTAACTGAGTTGGGCTTGAGCTCAACCCAGAATTCTGGAATCTCACACAGGAAACCACTGGATGTGGCATCAGGCCCTGGGCAAGTGAGGACTATCATTTCCTCCAGGCTGTGATGATGACCTCATCACATTCCTTTCCATGGCGAGATGGCCCGATGTCTGACAGGATGGAAAAATCCCCTCTTCACAAGATAGCACGCCCCACCCTGCGCCCATGGCCCAGTCTCCTTTCTCTCCCCGCCTCCCTACCATCATGGCTCATAGCCTCTGTGGTGTCCCTGCTGGTCAATGCTGAAAAGATTCCAGGATGTGACTATGACTTCTCTTGCTCAAACCACAGTTCCCCAGGGAGGGATGGGCACTCCCTGGGCTACAGACTCTATTTGGGGTGCAGATTCCTTTTCCCGAAGGACTAGGGCTTGCAAGAATAAGCGGTCTTCCCAGGGTTTGTTGGGAAGGGGAGCGATCCATTCTGTGTCATCTTGTGGTTACAACACTGCTCTCAACAAAGTGACCCGCTTGAAAGCCTCCTATATTTCTGCTCTTTGCTCACATGAAAGATTAGTTCAGAACACTTAATAAAAACCAGGCCTTTCTCATTAGTGTCTAATGACATGCCCGAGAGGGCCATCCTGTGACTGTGCTGTCAGAGAGGGAATGTTTGCAGGGCTGGACCAGGGCAGAAAAGGAAGGTGACATTTGGTTCTTTTGTGTCCAGAGTGGTTGAGCCCAACGACCTCTGAGGCCCTCTCCTGGAGGGAGGGCCCAGACATCCTGGCTTTCCCGGTGGGGCAGTGGACAGCATGGGGTTTGGAGCTAGGAGACCTACGCTGGAGTATTCATGACTGCTGATGCAGGGAGGAAACCCAAAGCCCCGGAAATTTATTTATAAAAAAGGGTGTATTTATTCTTACATGTTTAAACTCCAGTCACCTTCAAAGTACTCTCCGTTTGATGCAGTAAATCTACTGAGATACCTTTTCCATGGCTCGAAACAGTTTTTGAACTCATCCATTTTGATGCCTTTTGGTGCTTCTGCTGTTTTCTGTTTCACCTCTTCCACACTGGCAAAACGTTTCCCTGTGAGGACTTTTTTCTCATCCGGTGAAACAAAATAAAAGTCGCTCAGGGTGAGATCGGGTGAATAAGGAGGGTTGGGGTATGAGGGTCTTGCATTTTGGGTTACAAACTTCTGAACACTCAGCACTGTGTGGGCAGATGCACTCGTAAACCACCCATCGTGAAATGGGTAAACCTGTTGAAAGAATCTCCACACAAAAAAATCCACTGAATCCTGAAGCTGAACGCAGTCTCTCACGATGCTGGCTGGTACGCTGATGCCGGTGGGTTCTTAGAATACTTACCTAGTGAGGGAAGCCTGTTCTACCAGGAGCCTGCCCTCCAAAAGATAATTCCAGGTGTTTTGGGGTCCCTCCTCTTATGTCGTCTCCACCTTGGCCACTGACTCCCTTCTTTGGGCCTCAGGTTCCAAATCCATAAAATGGGGACTTCATGTTCCCTAAGGCCCCTTCTAACTCTGACTGACTGGGGAAGAGGTCTGGGAATCTCTCCAGCTACTGAAGGGAGAGAAAAAGCGAGAGCCTGAGTACTAACAGCCAGCATGGCCAGGCTCATGGTGCCATGTTTCCCGTGCAGAAAGGAACCCCTGCAGCCTCCTGATTTCTTACCTTGCCCCAGCCGGGAGCCCGTGACTGCTTCTTTGGCACTTCCAAAGCCCAGCTCTCTGCAGACCACGCTGGCTGACACCAGGTCCCACTTGTCGTCGCAGACGGTGCCCCATTCTCCGTTCTTGAGCACTTCCACGCGGCCCTCCCCGACGTTGGCTCCGCCTCGCAGTCGCACCAGGGGTTGCTGGAGAGACAGACGGTCCTGCTGAGTGCAGAAGCTGATGCACATTCAGCGGGCCATCACTGTCCTCTCCCCGCGTCCCACTGCCCGGGCATTTGGTCTGGGAGCTGAAACTGTGCTTGATGTGTGCATGTGTGCATGTGTGTGTGTTGGAGTGAGCGGCTTCCTCTACAGAGCCAACTTTGGCGCAAGCTCCCTTTTCAGTCCTCGCATGGCGCTCTTGTCAGAGACCACGGGAGCCCGTCAGGGACCCTCTCCACTCATCACCCCAACCCATGCTTGGCTCAAGGATCCCACCATCAGCACCTCCCTTTACCCTCTCATTCCAGAGCCTCAAACTTTAGAGCCATAGAAAGAAGTTCCTACATCCCAACGTCTGTAGATTCCAAACAGGTTGTAATCAGACCTTGCAGGGATATAAGTGAGGATCAAAACTTGCATAAAATAGAGCAGTCTCGTCCTGCAGACTCCATAGTCCTAAGCAGACTGCACCGCAATGAATCTGCTGTGCAACTCCATGAGAGGCAAGAGGGAGGAGATAGGAGAATGGGGAGACAGGGAGCTGGAAAGCCAGCCCTACTATGGCCAGGACTCAGAGAATGGGCGTCGAAAAGGGAGGGGAGCCTTAAACGAACCTTCCCGGAGCTGGGTGCACACCCAGCCGCCCCCTGATTTTATTCCAAATTCAAAGTGGCCTGACTCTTCAGAAGACGCAGCCCCACGAGATTTGCAGGGTCGGGGGAGGATTCCCGTTGCAATACCCTTAATGCTCACTGATAGCCAGGAAGCCTTCATCCTAATCTTAATCTTCTGGGATTTATTGAATTACACAGGGGAAGGACACATTCTCTCCCAGCTTCTTGACTCCAGTGAATCGTGTCTTACAGCATGGGAGGTGGGTCACAGGTTTGCAGCAGTTTCCATGCGTGTGTATGCACATGTGTGTGTGCACGCGTGTGCATGCTCACTTGCATGCTTGCATGAATGCATGCACGTGTGTCAGGGGAGGCTCAGAAAATCAGGCCTGGGTGAAGATGGAGTTTTCAAGCAAGGGCCAAGGCATCAAACGGGAACCTGTCTCTATTTTCCAGCCACACCTCTCTCCCCACCTGCCAGCACCTGGGAACTGGCCATGGTGGGGAGGAGGAGGGGTAGGAATGGTGAGGGAATGGGGTGGGGGAGAGGGGTGCTGGGACAGCACCCAGATTTATAAACCCTGGGGACTGCTCTGACCCTGGCACTAGGGGAAGGGGTGGGTGCAAATCACCTAGTGGCTGCAGGAACTTTTATTCTAGCTTTTAAAGAAACAGAACAAATGAGTAAAACTGTTGGCTCCAGCCTCTGTTTTCTGTAGAACTGTGACTTCTCGCTTCCCTGACCTCCCTTCCCAAGCTGCCTTGCTGCCTTCCCACGGAGTAGGCTGACCATCCATGACCCAAGCCCAATAGAGACAGAGTGTCAAATAGCCTCGCCCCAGTCCGCAGTGGCCGGGCAGAGTCAGCTGGCCTCAGACAGAAGAAAGAAGCCAAGGGAAAATGTGATGTCAGCCCCGTTTTAATTGGTTTGGTATGAACTTGATTCCGTTGCTTTAAACCGCACCGTAGAGGAATTCCAAAACAGTAGGATCTGGTATTCTGGATGACACATGAGGAAAGCTCAGAGGCTCAGGCTGAGGTTGCAGAAAGGATGTGGCCATCAACTCACAGGGGGGCCAGTGAGGGTGTGTGGGGGGCGAGGGGACTGATTTTCAGAGGACCAGGAAGTGGTGCTGTTCGGGTGCCCTGGAAGCCCTGGATGCACAGAGGTGACCACATGTATGACGGTGTGGTCACCTCTGTGCCCTGAAGGAGGCCCCTGAGGGGGCTGAGGAGTCAGGGCCAACTGCCTCCAGGAAGTGCCAGGAAGTCACTCCAAGTAGTTCTTACACCCTCTGGTTGAGGAGGGCTGGGCTCCCAGCCTGCATTTCACTCAGTCTTTTGTCCAAATATACCCCCTAGCTGGGAAGGGGGCAGCCAGTATGGTTTACTGGTTCTTACCCTAGCTTCCCTATTCCACTGAAGAAGTGTTATCACACCCTTTCCAGAGCAGGTCTTCAGGTGCTGACAAGGTAGGGAGACTGGGGAGGCAGAAGGAAGGATGCGAGAAGAAGAAGGGAGGAGAGAGGAATGACATACTCTCTGCACCCCCCCCTCCGGACTGTTCTCTCTCCTCTGCTCCCTCTTACCCCTGACTTGTAATCATCACAAGGTGATGATTGCAAAATACAGAAGTTTTGACGGGCAGAGGGAACCCACCCCTGAGAAGCGATCAGCTACCTCTCTTATCCCTCCCTCCCTCCCTCCCCTCTTCCCACAAGCTATTCCCACCTTCTACCTACTCATGAATCTTAGCAGTTTCTAGAACATACTCATAACAGAGACCTTTTGGTGGATATATGAAAAAGAAAAGCTATTCAAGGGAAGACAGAATAGGGTGTTTTCTCTCCTTTTTTTTTTTGAGTTGGAGTCTCACTACATCACCCATGCTGGAGTGCAGTGGCACACAGGCTCACGGCCACCCCAGCGTCGACCTGCTAGGCTCAGGCGATCTTTCCTCCTCAGCCTTCCCAGTAGCTGGAACTACAGACACGCGTCACCATGCCTGGCTAATTTTTTTTATTTATTGTACAGATGAGGTCTTGCCAAGTTGCCCAGGCTGTTCTCAAACCCATAGGCTCAGGCAATCCTCTCACCTCGGCCTCCCGAAGTGCTGGGATTGCAAGCTTGAGTCACCGTGCCCCGCCTACTTTCTCTTTTGTAGAAGATGGGTCAAGCCTACTACAATTGGAAAAATACACTTGTCCTAAGAAATCAGTCCATTGAAATGGAAGTGTTAATTTAAATGGGAAGGTAAACATCTACATTTTTCTCTTATTTCAATTTTTTTTTTAATAGAGATGTGTTGGGAGCCAACATCTACAGCTACATGGCTGAGGCCTGGAAGATCGCCTCTGACATAGGATATCAGTTATACCTATAATATTGGCATGTGATTAGTGACCAGTGAGCATACATTTATAAGTACATCTCTATACACCTGATGGAAAGTTGCACAGTAGAATTATTTTATATGACCTTGTCCCTTCTAAGTTGTACTTCTTTCTAGATATTTTTTTACTTCTATTTCCTTGTAGACTGGTTAGTCAGTTCTTGTTCCCAAAGGCAGTTTCTCCCAGGATTAAGATTAGAAACTAAATTATCATAATAGTTTTATTGCCCTGCCTCTAGCCAGGCAGGACGTTTTTCTAGTTTTGTTACATGCGAAACTCTGTTGG